GTTACGCTTGATTGAGAGCGGAGTGAATTTACGAATGAGCTTCGCCTCATGGCGCGTTGCGCTTAAATGTGCATGCGGCGTCTTCAGCGCCGGCAACAGTGTCGATGCGCGTCCCTTCCAGAAATTTTCCTTTGGCGTGAGAAAACGAAGCTTCTAGAAGTTTCGAAGGCGTCCCTTTTTTGTGAGTGCTGGCAGTAAATAATATTTCAAATCGTAAACTTGCTCGGACTTGCCGAGTTTTGTTTGTAAACATTTTCTCGAGTGCCCGCCTCGGTCCGCACGTGCGGATCAGCCTAGGCGCACGTGGTGGCCAGCCTTGCTGCACGCGCGGTCAGTCTAGGCGCACATGCGGTACGCCGGGCTGCGTAAATGGCCTTTCTTTTGTTTGAAATTCATGGGACTGCTTCAATCCCGAACAATTGTACATGAGCACATGTATAAGTTACATACGTGAGAAGATAAAATTTATAGAGGATTTAAAAATCTGATCTGAAATTGATATAATTTTTATATTTATAATGTTATTCAATGATTTCTCGAAAGACTAATTGATTTGGAAATTCATACATAAAAAAACAAAAAATTTTAAATTACTTAGAGTTTAACAATGTGTTAATTTATAAAAAAAAACTTATCGATTCATCAGATGAAAAAATTGAGATAATATTGTTAGATATTAAGGATATTTAGTCTTTAAATTTGTATTAAATATTTATCATTTTTCTTATTATTAAGATAATGTTTTAATTTTAAGCACTTATTATAATTTTTTATTTTTAAAGGAATTCATTTAAAGAATTTTATCTTTAGTTTAAATTGAAATTGAATTTTAAATTTATTTAAAGAAATTTAAAGGAATTTATTATTTTTAAAAAATACAGAGAATTGATCGATTAAAATGATTTGTTATTTAATTCATAAAGAGTATACAAAATTTTTTAATATTATACTCTTTCAATAGATTTTAAAGAATAGATTTTTATTAAATAAAATATCGATGTTTTAACGTATTTTTACGTATAACTATATTGTGATTATAAGTATATTTGTCGTGTTTACTATAATTTTATACAATATTTTGCTACTGAATTATATCTATAATTTCAATTTATTCTTTTATTTAGTAGAAATTTAAATAATTAATTTGTTAATTATTGAAAAATAAATATATAATATATATATTATATATATAATATATACCCCTATACAGGAGTGTGTGCATATTTCTGCTAATCCTTACAACATTAGCAGAAGCCACTCTTCATTGTATACACTTTCACAAGCTACAAACCACCTTCACTGTATACACGTTCAGGCCACCCGTCCTATATAGGAGTGTGCACATATTACTGCTAATCCTTACAACGTTAGCAGACGTGACGACATCGTTACCATCAATGAGCAACCACATCGTTACGACAAGACAAGGTTTATACTCTTCTATGAGAATATAGTTACTAATGTAACTATTAGTAAACTATATGTTAACGAAGTCTGACATACTACACATTTCTACAACCCTTCCACTTAACTTCCACCCAAGCATCTGCTAGAGCGGGCGGCAAATTACTATAGCTATCGATACAATGGCAGTTCAAGCCAAGAAATCATACCAGTTTCGAACACAGAGTAAATATATAAAATAAGAATATAAAATAATTATATAAATTAAATAATACTTATTCTGTAATGAAATTATAGTAATTTATAGCAATTTATATTCATACATAAATTAAATTAAATTTATTGTACAGATCGATATTAAAAAAAGGAGTTGTATACAAATGAGAAATTAATAATAAAAATTATAAGATGTTTCAAAAAATAAAATTATTCTTAAAATTTAATATTTACTAAAGTGTGTAACCATTCATCAGTTCATTAATTTTTATAATATTAAATGATTGATAATATATTATTGTCTCGGAATATAATAATTAAAATAATATAATTTATATTATAAAATAAACAAATATTAAAATTACAACTATTTTTATTTACTATTTTAAAATTGAACAATAATAGTATTGTAGATTGTTCGATTTTAAAGGCTTAGTTTATGGCTCGAACTACCAATTCAATAGTTCAGTGGATAAG